ATCCCGCATGTGGAGCCTGCCCCGCCCCGTACGGCGACATTCACTGTCTGTAGGTTGGCAGTATCCGAGGCCGGCACCGTGACGTCACGGCAACAAGCGACCCGGCCGTAACACGGCAGTTGGCTGGGGTTGAATATTGCATAGGCGCGTCTGTGTCATGCAGTGGCGACCTTCAGTCCACTCGGCCGCGCGGGGCGGGGCGGGGCAGGGCGGGCGCTGGCCAGTTCCAGCCGGAAGCACCGTATGCCGCGGAAGTAGTGCGGCTGCCGACAGTAATAAAAAGAAAACAGCCCCCCCGCGTGTATCAAGGTGCTCGAGGCACAGGCTCGTTCAAAACTGCAAAACTGTTTGAAATCTTGCGACAGGCAACATAACCTATGCTAGACTGTCGCTCATCCTCTTCTTTGTCATGGACCGCGCTACGCGCCACGCCACCCCGCCAGCGCTCTAACTTACAAGTTTTACCTTGCCCAACCCCGACAAATGCGAGTATATACACTATTATATGCATGTCGCTGATGTAAATATCAGGATGGTCGCAGCGGCGGCGTGTGTGAGGGGGGTGGGATGGGGGTGCTCACCGTGCGGCCTGCAAAAAAGCGGGCGGGGCTCGGGCCCTGCACGCTTGGCTGCGTGCTTCGCATGGGCAGCAACAGCCCCGTGGGGCCCGAGGCTAATAATGCATGATCACCCCCTCCAGCGAACGCCCCCCCCCCCCCACCCTTCTCCACCACCGTGATATCTGCGCGTGTATTGGTTCGGGGCGCCCCATCAATATTGCCAACCCCAGCCAACTGCAATGGCTGTTTCCGGTCGCTAGCCGTCCCCCCACCACCACAGCCGGCCTGGGATCTTGCCACCCCTGGAACTGCAAATGAGGGGCGTAAAACCCTGTTTTTTCTGGTTTGGTAACCCAGCGGGCGAGTTAAACGTCACTGTTATTCATATCTAAGCACATTTGGTGGATACTTTTCATCGCTGTTTAATGTCAGTTCCTTCTAATTATAATTGCGAACCATAATAATTTTCTGGGGATTCTGGGGATGGCTGGCTGCAGTGTGTCAACATGCACCA